AACAACCACAGCTTGTTCTCCCCAGTCCTTATCTTTCACACCCCTTATCAAGTTTCACAAGCCAAAAACTCAAGCTGTCGTGTTTTCTCTCATTCCCTTGCCTCACTTCTAACCTATTGGTGAATTCTGTATATTCTAACTCAGTATGTCCTTTAAAGGTGTCAAGCCTTTCCCCATCTTGAGCCATCTTCGTGTGCTCTTCTTTCTCTTTGCCTGGGTCTCTTCTTTTAGTCTACACTTCAATGTCATCTCCTTCAAAAGGCCCTCATTGATCACACTATTTGGCATAAAAGTTACCAGTTCCCATGACACTGAATCTGATTCATGGCAACTCTGCATGGGAGAGTAGAGCTGCACTCCAAAGGGTCTTCAATGAATGATTTTTTAAAAAGTAGTTCACCAAGCCTTTCTTCCAAGGCACATCAGAGTAACTTCTAACCTGTCACCTATCAGCCAGGCATATTAATGGTTTGTGCCATCTAGGACACAACCTTGCTTGCTGAAACTGAAGAGGACCCGAAGAACTTGCTGTGGAAGGTCAGGGACTGCAGTCTTCAGTATGGATTGAGATTCAATATCAAGAAAACAAAGATTCTCACCACTGGGCCAATTGGCAGCATCATAATGGATGGTGAAGAGATTGAGATTGTTCACAGTTTTGGTTTGCTTGGATCCACAGTCAACACTCTTGGCACCAGCAGCCAGGAAATTAAAAGACATATTGTGATGGGAAAATCTGTGGTTAGAGACTTCTCTAAAGTGCTGAAGTGCAAAGATGTCAGCCTGGAGACTAAGGTGCATCTGATACATGCCGTGGTCTTTGCAGTCCCTTGCCATAGCAAGAGAGTTGGACAATGACTAGGGATGATAGAAGGAGAATTGATGCCTTTGAGCTGTGGTGTTGGAGAAGAGTATTGAATATATCATGGACTGCTAGGAAAACAAACAGGTTTGTCCTAGAGAGGGTGAAGCTGGGCTGCTCCTTGGAGGCAAAGATTCTGAAGCTTCATTTGACATACTTTGGACATGTTGTAAGGAGGGATCAGTCCTTGGAGAAGGATGTCAAGCTTGGGAGGGTGGAAGGAGAGTGTAGGAGAGGAAGACCCTTCTCGATGAGATAGATTGATTCAGTGACTGGAGTAATGTGGGTATGTGTGTCGGAGATGGTGAGATTGGCACAGGATAGGACAGAGTTTAGGGCTGTTGAACCTAGGGTCACTATGAGTTGCGGAGACTCAACGGCATATAACAACAACAACAACAACCATCACCACCACCACCATCTAGGAACTCCAAAAGTTGTCCTTTATTCCCTACTTTCGACCCTTGTTTATTTTCTTCCTTGCTCATAGAAAGAAGAGAAAAAAATACAGCTTGTAGTTTGTCTGATTTCTTATTTGTCTGTATCCATTTTGTTCATCATTGTACTCCTAGCACATATTAGTCTCTAACACAAAAGAAACTTTCTTAAAGGAAATACATCATTGTGATCTATTTGTTTTAGGCTTCTTGTCATAAAGCTAGTTAATAATAATAGTAATAGTGTCCAGTCTAAAGGTAGATTATGAATCATTTTGCATTTTCTACCACAGCATCCTACACTAAGTGCAGACTCTGGTAAAGGAATGACTGGATTTCTTCATCACAGGCCTGGGAGTCAGTGTGGCTCCTTAAATAGCTCTGGCCATCAGCAGGTGAAGCACTTCCTCCCTCTCCTGTGATGCACTGCACCCAGAAAGAATGCTTTTAGAACCAAACACAGCTTAACCTCTTTGGTTTTTTCAATAGTTTATCTTTTTTCACATCCCTCCATCTAGACCCTCCAGTGCTTTATCATAACTTTATTTCATAATACCAAGAACCTAAAAGAAGACTTTGGGAATCTTTAAATCTTTTCTGGATAGAAGATGCCATCGTGAAAAATATTCATTTTTTCATCTGGCTAAATACTAGATGGATTGGAGAGGATTGATAAAATGAATTCTTAAGCCACTTGACAAACAAGTGTTAATATATCCATAAAAAATTCTGAAAAAGTAATATTGTAAGGTTTAGAAGACCAATGTAATATCAAAATATGTTGCAAAACATATTACACGAGTTCGGCAAATACAAGCAAGAAAAAGCATAAGATTGGAATAAAATAGAATAGTTGAGAACCCCGCCAAAAAATAGTTGAGACAATATACAAGTATATTGCAGATTAAAAAGGGAGAATTTGTTTGCTTCTGAAGGTAGGATTGAAAGCAGTGGAGAAATAAATTTTCCCACTGGCTTAAGTTACATTCCTATTTCACATCTTCACCAAAGTATGTCTAAAATCTCCAAAGCATAAATTGAAAGATATTTATTACAGTGTTTTTTATAACCTTAAAATGAAACAATAACCTGGGTGTAACTCAAATGTCAGCCCAGTTATAGTATAAGATTGAATAACATGCAGTTGTTTGGAAGGAAATGGGAAGATGCCCAAGACATATTTTCAGATGATAAAAAAATAAGCTGTAGAGGGAGAGAGAGGAGAAAAAAAAATAGTCTCTCTATGGTGTCTTTTTCTTTTTAAAGCCTACACATATAAAATGTGACTGAAAAGAGAAACAAAATTGTGATAGTGGTAGCTCACTCTTCGAATTGATGGAAATAGAAAAAAAAATCTTAATTTAACTTTAAACCTTTCAGTGTTGTCTAAAATTGTTACTAAGAGCATTGTAAACATTATGATTAAAAAGTTAAATACAATCAAAACTAATAAGACATAAAGAAGGGAGGGAGGGTAGGAGGAAGAAGAACAAACGGGCGAAAGAGGAAATGGGAAAGAGAAAGTCATATACTAATTTTCAAGTTTTAACATATTTGTAGATTAATTGTAAACTTATATAAAACCAGTACATTTATTACTAGTAAGATTTGTTGATTTTTTTTTTTAAAGCACACCTTAAAAGAAAATCTTTAGAAGGGATTTTTGGAATATTTCAGTACAAACAGGGTTTTACATTTTCCAGTTCAACTCCTGTATTCTACACAAACCAAGGATAGCTCGTTTTTCCTGGTTAATATGCCATTATTGTTGTTGCCTTTGAGTCAGTTCCAACTCACAGCAACCCATGTGTGCAGAGCAGAACTGGTCTGTGGGATTCTCAAGTCCGTGGACTTTTGGAAGTATATCATAGCATGATCTCATAAAGTCTTCTTTATATTTTCTGCCTCTGGTGGAACTGCTGGTGGTCAAGTGCTTAACCATCACCTGCCAACCAAGGGCTCCTCTAAGTGGCATTAGCCTCCTTTTCCAGAGAGTTTATATTAATACAGAGAAAAAAAGAGGAGAGTTCATTATGAGCCAGATCAGAAGGAGATGGTGACAGGATGACATGGCCTTACCTTGTAGTGGCTGATGGCATCTTCAATTGTCAGCTCCCGATGAGACTGGTGTTCAGGGGACTCCAGGCACTTAACACAGAGAAGGAGACAGCTCTCCTCACAGAACAGGCTCACTGTCTTCTCGTGGAGCAGGCAGATGTAGCCTTCTCCCAACACCTTCTCTGAACAGGGGGCGCGGCAGATGGGGCAGACAGCTTCCTGGGCTGAGGACTTCAGGTGATGGGCCAGGCACTTTCGACAGAAGAAGTGCCCACAGTCGGTGCTCACAGCCTCCTTCAGGTGCTCCCGGCAGATGGAACATGGGCTCATCTTTCTGCTGTCCTCCTGCAAGAGAACCATGGCCTTCAACCTAGCCCATCAACCTCCTGCTGGCAGGGCCTACTTCCCTGTTTGAGCTTGTCACACCAGATTGTCTCAGATAAGATAGTGCCCTGTGGAAAGTCTGCCCTGGAGCAGCCCCGAGGATACAAGTTAGCCCTCTAACTTCAGCCAACTGCCTACTCTCCCAATGGAGTTGTAGCATGGACCTTCCAAACCCTGATTCTGAACAAGTTTCAAGAATATCTCAACAGCTTTGAAATGTCCTTGCTTGTTTATTTGTATTTGCTAAACGTAAAATATCTTATTTTAAAAAAAAAATATATAGAACCAGAGGAAGCAGAGGGTTCAAAAGTCAATTGAATTTTCCTTTCAATAGCTGTGAATACTTTTTTTCAGCTCAAAATTCAAATGCCATGGTGTCAGGGCCAAAAGCCAACATATCATAAATCTACAAGATGGAAGCCTCCTTTGAATTACTCTCATTGAGAGAATTTGACAGGAGTTTGGAGTGTCCTTTTGCAAACAATGATGCTAGATGGCTCGAAGACGCACCGAGAATTTGGCAAATTGCTGTCTGTTATTACTAACAACCATTTGTGTCAGCATCTCTGTTAGCAAGGTAATCTCCCAACCAGTATCATTTTCAGAGTTGTATTTTTATAGTGAAAGGGAAAATGAAAGAGAATGGAACATAAAATAAACCAGAAATGTATATACAGTGCAAAGCCAATGCTTCACTTCTTTCAAATTGTTTCCAACGATCCAAAGAAGAAAGTACCCCCCACTCCACTACACACTCACACACACACACACATACACACATAGCCTGTTCAGTCACTCCCATTATTTCATCCTTACACCTCTTACTTAGTTCCCACCTGAAAAATTCAATACATATCCTACCTCCATTTCTCCTACTACAATTTCAGGTCTATTTCTCAAGTCCCAGACCTGGGGAAATGGTCAGCAAGTGGATGGTTCTTTTAAATTGTGTCAGTCATATACAATCACCTGTCAGTGGGAATCTGCTCTGCAGAGCAGGCAAGAAGACCCACCCTCTCCGAGAAATACTTAATTTCCGGGAAAAGCACACTCCCCATGACTGGACTGGCTCGAGGTAGCTGGAAGGTGAAGTGAACTTTGATTGGGGCAGGGTGTAGCATGTTTGTTCACAGGGAAGGTAAAAGTATGGGTGTCTGATGTAAATATGGCAGAATCTGAGGATGAAATCATAGAATGAAGACTCCTGGAGCTCCGGAAGGATCCAGGTGCAGAGTTGGAATCACAGCTTTGACCCCTGATGCTGATATTGTTACCACATACCATACTGCTCTCCACTTATTGTCTAGTCAGGCTAGTCTCACAGATGCTGGAAGGGCCCACAGGGAGTAGAGTTAGTGAGAACTCACAACTGAGGCTTTAAAAGCTCAGAGGTTCTTCCTGAAAATTGCACTCTGTTACTGCCTCCCTCAGTCCCACCTTACCATAGTTTCCTGTAGGATTGCTACTAAAAGGAAGTTTTCACAGTTCCTTACCTTTTTTTCCTCAAAGAAGACAATTTCATTTTCACATCACTGGAAACTCAGGATAAGAGATTAGGGTAAGTACCCTCATTATTCTATGTGGCCACTCTTGACAGTTATAAACCCAGCCACATATAAAAATACATGCTTGTGGACACTCTTGTGGCGCACTTTCTGCTCCTTCTGTGTAGCTCCCAGTCTTTCACAAAGCCATCCCCTTTCATTATTGGATGGCTAAGGTACCAGGCTCAGAGGCTTTTCTGCACCCCACATCCTGGGTGATTTTAAGGGCCCTGTAGATGACTGTCCAACACTAAAGCCCCTCAGTTTCTTGACCTGCTCATATCTGATGGCCTTTACTTTTGCATTACACTCACCACATCTGCTCTTAAATCTCTCACCCTTGACCACTCCACATCCTACATTTCTGCAGAGTCTTGTGGGATAATAAGAGAAACAAAAATGTAAAGAGATTAAGTAATCAGACCAAGGCCACAAGAGGAAGAAACAAAGAGCCAGGATTCAGATGTGGATCTGTCATCCTAGCCCCAGGCATCATCACCACTAAATGTCATCTGTCTTCACACCTCTTCTTGCACTCAGGAAGAATTCTGCAAAAGCATGATAAATGAGTAGTGAATGCACAGACAGACAAATAGGTAACTGGATGAATATTATACAGGTGAAGAAATAGCACTTTGTACCACCTCAGAATACTAGTCATAATATAAAATAACTATCAGAGTTATTTAGGTGATATAGTATATAGGGAGCTGTACTGTTACTGAAAGATGGCATCACTTTGATGGCTTGACTTTACTAATAGCTCCAAGAGAAAATGATGGGCAGTCTCCTGCCATGCTATATGTTGTTGTTGTTGGTATGGGTCATTGAGTTGCTTGTGATTCATAGCGACCCTATGTACAAGAGCCCTAAACGCCGTTCTATCCTGTGCCAACCTAGCCATCTCTAACACACATTCCCACCACTCCACTCACAGAATCAATCCATCTCATCGAGGGTCTTCCTCTCCTGCACCGCCCCTTCGCTCTCCCAAACATGATGTCCCTCTCCAAGGATAAGTCCCTCCTTGCAACATGCCCAAAGTATGTCAGACGAAGCTTCAGAATCCTTGACTCCAAGGAGCACTCTGGCTTCCAGGACAAACCTGTTTGTTCTCCTAGCAGTCCATGGTACATTCAACACTCTTCTCCAGCACCACAGCTCAGAGGTATCAATTCTCTTGCTATCATCCCTAGTCACTGTCCAACTCTCTGATGCATAGGATGTAATTGTGAAGACTATAGCCCAGATCAGGTGCACCTTAGTCTCTAGCCTGACGTCATTGCTTCTGGCTGCTGTTACCAAGAGTGTTGACTGTGGAACCAAGTAAATGAAAACTGTTAACTATCTCAGTCTCTTCACCATCCATACTGATGCTGCCAGTTGGCCCAGTGGTGAGAATCTTTGTTTTCTTGATGTTGAGCGTCAATCCATATTGAAGGCTGCAGTCCTTGACCTTCTGCAGCAAGTGCTTCAGGTCCTCCTCAGTTTCAGCAAGCAGGGTTGTGTCATCTGCATAACGCAGGTTGTTGATGACTCTTCCACCAATCCTAATGCCACATTCCTCCTCGCACAACCCAGCATCTCAGATGATATGTTCTGCATACAAATTGAGTTTGGTCCTTTTGAGGGTCAACTATGGATTGGTTCTGACTCCACAACAAAGACTTTGACTTTTGGCTCTGATTATTTAGTTTTTTGGTTGTTTTTATTGTGATTTGTTGTGTACGTTGAGTCTGAACGGATCTATAGCTGACCCCCTGGCAGTTTTTCAGAGGCAGTTAATCACATGGGAGGAGACTGCCCATCCTTCTCCCAGACAGTGGCTGGTGGTGGCCTCAAACTGTGTGCCTTCAGGACTGCAGAGCAGCTACAAGGACATTGGTTTTTCAATTATTCATACATAGTTTGTTTTGTAACATTAATTACAATAACCACAATGTCCGATCATTCTATTACTGTATATTGCCCATTCCTTCATCCATCTTCATGTCTACTTAAGTGACATTTGTGGCTCACATGCACTGGGTAATATAGTTTACCTGCTGGGTTAAGGCACTCTGATTCATGGCCTGGAGTGTTTATATTCTAATGCAAACACAGCTAGGAAGTATGAAAAAATAACATCCAGAGAGCAACTTTATGTGCCAAGCAAAAAGTAACCACAAAAATCAGGAATAATCCCATATTATGTGTGTGCATCAGTGCCCATTTATAAAAGGCTCCAGATTCAGATGTTTAACATTATCTAAAATACACAAAAAAAAATCCTAACAAAACTCATTGGAACAGATTCATAGTTGACCTTCCAGTAGGTTTTGAAGGCTGTAAATTGAACAGGAGAAAATTGCCTATCTTTCTCCCATGGGTGGGTTATAGAATTAGTTCCAGAGACAGACTTATAGGATTGTAAGGAAATTTTCATTGTGCTACTTTAACAACTGGATGTAAATATTTTAAATATGCCACATTTAAAATATTTTTTTAAAAATAAAATTTAGTCTCTCATAAATTTTTACTCCACTCTTCTTCCTCCATTCCCATCTCTAGTGCCCAGCCAAGGATAATTCTATTGTTTTTTTAAAAAAAATTATTTTAATGAAAGTTTACAGAGACTTAGGGTTTCCAGTCATTCACTGTTGCACTTTTCTCCCTGCCCACCCCTTCCCCACCCCAATTCACTTTTCTCCTTGATAAGTAAAAGAAAAACTCCTTCATTGCTATGCAATCCCTCCTCCCAAGTCCACTGCACTGTGCAACCTTCATTCTGGACGCCCGTCATGGCAATAATACCCAATCATATATCCCTTTTAAACAATTCTCTCCCTTATCTATTGCAATGCAGTATACATCATGCCTCCTCTTCTCTGTCTTCCCTCAACCCCAATGTCAGTCCTGTTTTACAATAGTGGCCCTATGCAATATTTGTCCTTTTGTGACTGAGATATTTCAGTCAGCATAATGTCCTCTAGGGTCATCCACTTAGTATAATATTTCATTAGTTCCTTTTTTCAGTGCTGCATAGTATTCCATTGCATGAATATACTAGAGCTTCTCTATCCATTCATTTGTTAATGGGTATTTGGGTTGTTTCCAGCTCTTTGCTATTGCAAACAAAGCCGCAATAAACATGGGTGTGCATATATCTGCTTGGGTAATGGTTGTGCTTTCTTTAGGGTAAATTCCCAGTAGTGGAATTGCTGGGTCAAATGGTATTTCTATTTGCAATTTTTTGAGAAAGTGCCATACCGCTTTTCACAGTGGTTGCACCATTTTACACTCCCTCCAACAGTGAATAAGGGTTCCAGTTCCTCCACAATCTCGCCATCATTTGTTGCTTGCTGCTCTGTTAAATTTTGCTATTCTGACTGTGAGATGATATCTCATAGTTGTTTTGATTTGATTTGCATTTCTCTTAGAGCTAGGGATTTT